ATATATCGAAAATGCATGTGGGTACTCAAATGAAAGCTCTTGACGAGTGTAACATCGTAATGAGCTTATATCTTTAAAAAAGTCACTATTTAAGAAAGTACAGTGCAATTCAACGCAATTCTTATTTACTAAAAAAAGGTTAAGTAAATAAAAAAAATAGCAATTACAATATAATATATTTATTGTTATCAATATTCGTTAACCACAATCATTACATTTTAAATGTGTTATTTTATTTAATAATATACAATTTGTTTTTTTATTTGTTACTATACATTTCATCTAAATAAATATTTTAATTTTAATTCGCCTATCGGTAAATTATATACAAAAGCGTGGGATCTCTCCCTGCTAAACTACATTACCAATTAAATATTAATCATTTGGTTGGTCTAGTTTACATTTTTTTAAAAAACATTTGTCCGACATTTTACCCAGCCCCCCAAAAAACTTCAAAACTTCATTGTCTCATTAGATTAAATTACCCGGCTACAAAATAATTGACGGAACCTGTTAGTGTAAAATAACCATTCTGCATAAACTTCAGTTGTCGTTAAAAAAAAAAAATGTCATTTTATTTTAACGAGGTTCGAAACACGTAAAGCTCTGTTGATTATTGATTTGTGTTATTTAGTTTTGATAATAATATTATTAGTTATTTAGCGATACGTTCGGTCGAACGCGCACTAAAGCATTGCAACATTGCTTTTAGAATTAGTTTTTTTTTTTATTTTTGATATCTTTTTTTTTTTTATTACAAAGAATTCCGGCTTATCGTTCCATCGGTCCACGTGTTTGCTGCAAAGAAAAATTCATCTTTTCAAATTTAAATCGAATTTATTCCTTATGATTACAGTGATATCTAGACTATTAAGGTAAATTATTAAGGTTATGTTACCTCTGTAGTGCGTGGTTGGAACCATTGACGGACATTTTGCGTCCGGCGCCTAAAAAATATAAAATTTTGTTAAATTTATATTATTAAGAGTACATTTATATGATAAAATGGGTTTTTATGGTTAAATTTGGTATCGTTGGACAAGAAATGACTTTGTATCTTGTGAACTATTGACGTTATTTAAAATATAAGCTCATCCTGATGTTATACTCATCAAGGCCTTTCATTCAAGTACCCACATGCATTTTTATATATTTTTCATATACATATATATATATATATATATATATATATATATATATATATGATAGCTTCTGGTGCATGTACCTACTGGTGAGATTGTCTCAGCATGTTATGTCGGCACAGGACACCGGATCATTTTTGTCGATGACTTTTGCATCGGCTTTGGTGCAAGTTAAAAGATCTTTTGATAAATTTATGCAGCTACAGCAGCAGTCTATTTTAAAAGACACTAAAGTTAATCGGAGGAATAAGTGTGGGATATTGCCTTATGTTGCTAATTTTGGGTCCTTTGCTAGAATTACAGATAAGATATTCAAAAATTCAGATCGAAAAGTTGACTTGGAAAAATCTTATACTAAATTAGTTGCGACTATGTTTGAAGCTATTAATATTCACAGTACTGAGCACCATAAAACACCGCAAGAAGTTATTAAAATGGGTATTTTTATTTATTTTATAAATGGGTGATTTTCTGTAAGGACGTCTTAAATCTGTACAAAATTGTCCGACCAAATTATTTTTGATTTTGTTAGAAAAAAAATTAACAAGGGCTACAAAACTATCTTAATCATAATAAATAAACAGATTTAATTTTTGCTTTTTCGATATTTGTGTATCTTTTGCTATATAACATGACAGGGGACTGTTTGCCAGGGGACTTTTTTTTTATCATATTGAGAAAAATCAAGCAAACTATTTCAATGCATTCAGTTTTTTAAGTTCTCAATGAATGTTTACATTAATTAGAATAATATTAAGACCTATAGATCCATTTTTATAAATAAATTACATATAAAAATAGTTGCCAGGGGACTGAGTTTTGTAGTGGCCCAGACACATATTTCCAGCACAAACGGTGCTTTGACACTAAATAAAATGGCGATAAAGCGCTAACAGCCCTATGGTTATTAACTTAAGGCTAGTTAGATCCTTATAAACTTTACAAAAGGTAAAATAACACGCTGGATTTTTTTATTTTTGGCTTTAAACTTCTGGCAGGGGACTGTACTTAAAATGCCTGGGACAGACTTCGATTTGATGAAATTAATAAAACAAATTAATTTTCAGTACTTTTCATTGAAGAAGATTGTTAGTTAACTAATTAAGTTTATAAACATTGTGGACAAAATTATATATTATGAACGAATAACTTAAAATTTAATCTTAAAGTTTTAATTTGGGGAGTGGGACAGCCCAGGGGACTGTCATTTTGGTGATTTACGAATTTATAGCAAAAAAAACCAAAATTTATTTCATTTCAATTTTCAATGCTCCAAATAGAAATGTTTTTTTGCTTTCATAATAAATTTTTTTTAGTAACAAAATAACAATTTTTCTAATAAAACAATGCCTGGGACAGCAAAAAACATCCTTACAGAGAATCACCCATATATATGTATATATGAAAAATATATGAAAAATGCATGTGGGTATTTAAATGAAAGCTCTTGACGAGTATAACATCAGGATGAGCTTATATTTTTAAAAATGTCAATTTTTAAGAAAGTACAGTCCAATTTAATAAAGCAAAATTTTAGATCAATTTTAAATTAAAATCGTCAGAATAAAATTTTCTGCTTTTTTTGACTATTTTAATAGAAATTGACTTCAAACTTCCAAATTGCATAAACTGTCGGTATTTTATTGACACTTTAACACGGAGTATTTATACCCAACCTATTTTCAATTTTGATCAATAAGATTTGTTTACTAATTCAATTATTATTCTTCAAACTTTAATTAGAAGTTTATTCTCAGTTGGTTAGAATGCACACGTGCACTCTAATTAACTCAAAATAGTCACTGGCCTCCATTCCGTGTCAAATTTAATGAATGATATCATTATTTACATCTTGCCTAATTATTTTTTACCCAATACTTGCTGAATATTTTATTAACATTCAGTTGTTGCCGATAATTTATATTAAGAATATATGAAATTTAATACAATGAAGAGATGTTTCTGTCCAATTTTAATCTCAAATTTTTAATTTAACAATACGACAGTTCAATATGACGAAATGATTTTGCTATTAGATGTAATGAAGTAAATTTAAAATGTTACTTAAATAGATCCGTAGGAATTGATATTTCAATCTCATAATTAGTAATCATAAATACAATTGCTTATGAATTAATTATCTTGACAGTCTAATGATAACTGTTTTTGTCGGTAAATATATCCCGGTGTTAATATTCCAGTTTGATTTACAAAAAAAAAATTATCTTCGAGATAATATTTAATAGAGTTTTAATCAATAAAATTGTGGATTATTTTTATATTTAAAAAAGCGGTTTCGAAAGATTTTTTACTTTTAAATAATTTGTGTTTCAATAAAAATTTAACCTAAAATGTCCAGATATATTTCCTTCAATATTCAAGATACGAGACTCATCAATTATTTTGTTCATAAATAAATATTCGATTTTCATGATTCAGTAAAACGCTCACGTTGATAAGTCGTGTGCCCATTTTAAGATGACTATAACAGCTTGGTATCATCTTTGAACATTATTCTTTCAAGAATATAGGTTACATTCATGCAGAATTGAAGATTTAATGGATGATAGAATTAGCAATTAAAAATGTTGAAATTATTTTTAATGATTAAGAAATGACCTTGTATTTTGTGAACTATTGACATTTTTAAAGATATAAGCTCATCCCGATGTTACACTCATCAAGACCTTTCATTTGAGTACCCACATCAATTTTTCATATATATTATATATATATGTATATATGAAAAATATATCAAAAATGCATGTAGGTACTTAAATGAAAGCTTTTAATGAGAGAAACATCGGGATGAGCTTATTTCTTTAAAAATGTCAATATTTAAGAAAGTGCAGGGCATTTTAACAAATATCTTGTAAACTACTGACATTTTAAAAGTTATAAGCTCATCCTGATGTTATACTCATCGAGACCTTTTATTTGAGTACCCTCATCAATTTTTCATACATTTATATATATTATCTATATGTATGTATGAAAAATATATAAAAAATGCATGTGGGTACTCAAATGAAAGTTCTTGATGAGTGTAACGTCGGGATGAGCTTATACCTTTAAAAATTTCAATAATTAAGACATGACCTTGTATCTTGTGAAATATTGACATTTTTAAAGATATAAGCTCATCCCGATGTTATACTCATCAAGACCTTTCATATGAGTACCCACATCAATTTTTCATATATTTCATATATTTATATATATATCTATATATGAAAAATATATCAAAAATTCATGTAGGTACTCAAATGAAAGCTCTTGACGTGTGTAACAACGGAACGAGCTTATATCTTTGAAATCATCAATAGTTAAGAAAATACCATTCAATTTAACAAAATTCATTATTTAATAAAGCAAAATTTAATTTATATTCACTGATTTTTTAAAATAGATCTAAAAAAAATCTCACCTTCCGAAAATCAATATTCGTCCTGATAGTCCTGTGATGAAGCAGCTGAATGGGCCTGCGGTTGTTCCCAAGAGGAGCTTTAGGTGTTTCTTTGGTGCCCTGCATTAGTCTTCTTAATGCGTAGAGCTGTAATAATAATAGATAAGACAGAAATTAATTAACAAAGTAGGAATAACGCACGTGCAAGAAGCGTTTACCGGGTTTGAAAAATGCCCGGTAGTTGGTAAATTATGGGTTGAAATAGTAAAACAAAAAGCAAACAGCACTAGTGTTGGGAAACTGTTGAATAAAATATGAGCAATGGCTGTAGTTCAGCGTCCTACCTCTTGAGCACTCATATATATGGGCTTGTTGACGATCACCCAGACCGTCGTCTCCCAGCAGCCTGGGTGCGTGGTGCTTCCCTCGTAGGTCATGTATCCGTCTGTGTCCGGCATCAGTTCTTTCAGGGAAAGATGACCCACGGGAGCTTTTTGGGCTGCAATCAGAAAAAAAACATCCATATTAGTTAAGTATAGAGAATTAAACAGTTTTGTTTGAAGATTTTTACCGCCGCAAACAATTAGTTAAAGGTACACTCAAGATAAGAAAGTTTAACCGACATAATTCGAGTGGTAAACATCACGGTTGGGAATGTAAAGGGGCTGTAAAACGGAAGCGCGTACCTTATAACCAACGTAAACATTTGCAGGTAAGGGTTTTCAAGTTAAGGCAGTACACTACACTCCGGAATCTTGTGTTGCTCTTCTTGTATGCTATAGTGTAGTATACTCTAAGACATTAAATATAGACTGAGATGTCTAACTAAAGCGGATTTCCCCACTCCTTTAGAACGCGGTCTAGTCTATAGTCTTTAGTCTATAGTTGGCTCGATCTAACCTAATATAACTAGTCAGGAAAGTTAACCACTTTTACGAGTAGAGCTACCCAAGATACATAACAAACTACTCATTTTTATCACACACCATTAATTATCACTTGCTTTTAGAATCACTCGTGATGATTTACGGGCAAAGTTTGAGTATTGATTGTCGAAGGTTCTAGAAAAGTTAGAATTTGAAATCAAGGAGATTTTTTTGTAGGAAATTGGACTCTATATCAAAGATACTTGGACGGCGTATTGATCAACGTATCCAGAAATAAATTTTTTTGAGATAACCTAACATATGTTGTGGGAATAAATGACAAATTATATTGTAAAATAATGAAATTTAGGTTATAACAAGTTATTGATATGTTATAACAACAAAACAGTGTTGTTACTATAGCAAAATCTTCAAGTTGATTAGATAAAGATAGTAACAGAGTATAAACAATATTACATAATATGTAATGACTCTATATAAACCAAAGCTTTAATTCTTAAATGCTAATTATTCCCTTAAATTAATTAATTAATTAATCAGTGTTTTCAATGTTTTTACCAGAAGCTAAAGGAACCCAAGTAACATGTGCTAGAGCAAGATTTTGGTGCCAACGTCTTGAGCAAAACCCCTAGTTGCTAGTGTCTTTTTTTACATATGGGTCTCGCTCAAGTTTATTTAAAAAGACATGGTTCAAGATTTATATGTAACTAGCTCAAGACATCTTGTGCAAGAATATGAGACAAGTCTAAAGCAAGGTGCATTGAAAAACTTTCTTACGCATTTTTTGTACCAGAAACTCACAACAAAGACTTACCCATGACTTGCTCAACATTTGCTCAAGATCCGTAATTCTCAGAAATCCACTGATTCTATAGTAAATATAGGAGGGGTAGAATGATGCAAACGGTCATTCAAAAACATTTCATCTTGAGCAAATCTTGAGCAACTCTTGCACAAGTATATTTAGCATGCTTCTGGTGTCAGTCTTTCTCAAGACTTGAGCTATAATCTGGCCCAAAGTTCTTGTACAAGGCTTGTGAATTGAATTTGCTACAAGTCTTGCTTGCTGCAGATTTGCTCAAGCCTTGAAAAAATTTGCTATATGGGAAAGTAAAAAATAAAACAAAAGATAGTTACACATTCTTAGAGATGATTATGATAAGCTTACAATGTTGAATTTTTGGTGATGCTAGTATGCCAGATACTCAGACTATAGCAATACCGTAATTATTCTATAATTTTGCCGAATATTTTCTGATATAATGGATAATTACTAAAGATTATGTTAGAAATGAATAAAATGAAAAATTTTCAATTTTGCTTTTTATTCTCCATCATTACTTTGCAGAAACAAATACTGTTTTTGAACAATTCGTTTGAATTTGAATATTCCAGATTTTTTGCGTAAATATTCCGCATTTTTAGCGTAAATGTTCCGTAATATTTCGATAAAAATACTGACCAAAACAACTGAAAATATGCTGAAAAAATACAGCATTAATACTCTATAACTGGGAAATTTTTTTGGCATTTGCAAAACCGCTATAGAATACTTTAGTTAGTATAACAAATTTTTTTTGTTGAAACAGCAGAATTATTCTATTGAAATAACAAAGAGAATTTGTTGGAGTAACAAAGACAATTTGTTACAGTAAATGCTATAAAAATACATTTAAAAATATGCTATAGCTGATTTGGAGAATATTTTGGCAACAAATTAGTTTTGGTATTGCAACAAAATTATTTTGTTTATGCAACTAATGGATTTATTGCTATCACTACACCAATTAGTTACCCTAAGATATTTTTCATTTATCCCGTCTTTGTGTTATTTCAACAAAATAATTTTTATGCTCGCTTGTATGCTACCAAACCTAAATTTAGAAAGCGTACACTCCCTATTTGCGTTATCAAAAATAGGGAGCAGGATTGCAACATTAAAGCGAGGCGGAAATGACAAATAATAACAGCGTCGACGAATATCAACTGACTGGTATGTGGTAGAGGGGATGGAGGTATAGCGGGGGGGAGGGGGGTTGTACTGAATACAGCCGGGAGATGGAGATGCTCGTATGATTAATGAGACGCATTAACTTTCTTCCACCCGAGGGCGCCAGAGAGCATGAATTACTGAGAGACACACAAATGCCGTCACTCACAAATTCTTTCCCCCATTACCCCGGACTGTAATTTACTTTTTTCATTTCTTTTAATCCAACTGGCATTTGTCGGCATTTAAAGGAGCTCCACCACAAAGTATAGGAGTATAGCTCTTAGCGGAATTGACCGCCCCCAGTCTTCGCATCGCCCCTCGTAACACCAACCCTGAATGATAATCATCCTGATAGACAGCCGACACTGCTTCCTTTCATCGCTGAATGTCAGACTAACCTTTACCGAAGAACATCACCATCATCATCATTGTTTTCCACAATTGCTGCTGGTGATGTTCCTTGACTCTAATTCACAGTGGAAAGGTTCTGTGATTAAATTTTCAGGTAGTTATGCAGCAGAACATTATTCTGGTGTGTCGAAATATTTCATCTATTATCAGAACAGGGGGCTTGGGGTGGTGCATTAGAGGACCACGCACAGACCACGTATAAGTAAATTCTGGTGGCAGATCCATAGTTCACTTATGAAGGGATGGGGGTTTGGTGTCGATACTCGGGAAACGCCGGGCCGTTGGGTAAAGGGTAATAAATTCAAATTGTCCTAGGTGGGAACCTTTTCAATTTGGGCCTCCGGTGGACGTTGTTGTTATGTGTTCACACTATCCGTTGTATATACTTATGCAACAATGGAATACTTAGATTCGTGTCACACCCTCTTGCCACGACAGTTTCCATTGTCTTGTGATTTATGACGGTGTCAGGAGTCTCAACTCTCCGAGGCGTTTTTTTCCACGGGTAAGTAAAACACCGGAAGGTAGTATTGATTTAAATTCATGGTATGAGCTTAGAAAAAAACACCACCACCCAGCAAGAAGTCACTGTAATTTAATTTAGAAAGGTATATCCCTGCCGGGGGAGGGGGGAGGTGTAACGACAGATTTCAATAAAAACCGACATTTTGTCAAACAGATTCGTTAAGCAACAAACTCACTTTTCCATACACACTGTTCAGAATCCCTCCATACAAAATCAGCACTCATCGTATACAGGTAAGGGATGCGAGTTCATCTCTTTACATTTTTTCCAGCGGTATTTTATTTATTATTCGCTAGCTGGAGCAACTTGCAACACGCGACATGTTATCTGGCCCGTGAACTTGGTATTCATCAGATGTGCCAGCGCTCTTAGAGCTTGGAGATCCTCAGGCTTTTGGAAACCCGTTACTAATTGCGCTCAGAGTTATTATTTTTTTTTTACATTTACTCTTTTCAACGGTTACCCAGGTTCTTTCATACCTTATATACTCTAGTTTTCATTTTCGGGGAAATTATACATGAATTAGTGTCACTCCTCATCCTTCCCGGTGGCCTACTTTCACAACCGCTCGAGATTTACTCCCCAGTAAATTTATTGTAACTTTGTGTTTATTTACTGGGTGATCTTCAAGTTATAATGAATGGGCTTACTCGATAAAAAATGTTAATTGTAATGAGATTAAATAGTACTTACATCGATACTGCACGCTATTGAAGACACTGGTTATGATTCGTAGCTCCTGATTCGGAGTATCGCCGAGCTACAACAGAAATCAGGGTGTTAAAAAATATTTGTGTTAAATTGACACTTTTTTTGTGCTACTCATTTTTGTAACATAAAAAATGTGTTATTTAGTCTTTTGTAACACTATTAGTGTGTTACTTAAAAATCAAGATTAATTTTAAGTTGAATTGTCAATAGCAACACTTAGTTTGTGTATTGATGCATCTTTGTTCCGTTTACGTGGCAAAGCGCTACACTAGTAGTTGCAGTGAGGTTACTCATGTTTGATTATCATATCAAAGTATTGTTATAATAATATTGTTTAAAAAAAGTGTTTATTTTAATGAAGTTTAAGAAGTTTGTTTCTATTAACAAAAATTTAAAATAATAGATATAAACACACACTAAGTTGTAGATTATAGTAATTAATACATTATAATTTATTTATATCACCTCAAATGTTCCACATGATTATTTTATTTAAATAAAAATATTTATTTTAGTGATATTTATTAAAGTAAACAAAAAGTTATAACCAAAAGACAATTTATTATTTTTTTTTTCTTTTAAAATAATGACTTGTTAAATTGCACTGTATTTCCTTAAATATTGACATTTTTAAAGATATAAGCTCATCCTGATGTTACACTCATCAAGAGCTTTCATTTAAGTACCCACATGCATTTTTCATATATTTATATATACTATATATAAGTACCCACATGCATTTTTGATATATTTTTCATATATACGATACATATATATGATATATATAATATATATGAAATATATGAAAAATTGATGTGGGTAGTCAAATGAAAGCTCTTGATGAGTGTAACATCAGGATGAGCTTATATCTTTAAAAATGTCAATATTTCACGAGATACAGGTTCATTTCTTAATTATGTATCTAAAGATACATAAAAACCTATTTTATTTATTTAAAATAATAACTTTGTAAAATTATTATAATATATAAGATGCTCTTGACTTGTTAAGCACAGCTTAACGACTTTGTAACTGGAAAAGGCAATCAGAACAACTGCGGGGTCTTCGGGCATCAAAATGTCTGACCCGGTTTCAGTTTCCGAGTTTTAGTATTTGATCGATCTATCTTGTGTTAGCGGGAAAAGTTTTATGAATGACAGGATCTCGGGAGCTTTCGCTCATTTAGTTTTGCCTGGGCCTTGGTTTGGTAGCTTTCCAACAAGAGTGAGAAAGTAAACGCAACAGTGGAATGGGGCCGAATCTCAAGAGTGTAATTCGTCTGAATTACAGTAGTCAGAGCAGCTTTGTAGAGCTCCTTTACGATTCATCCATTCATCGGAGATCGAGCACCTGTTAAGGACTCCCGGAGTGGAGAAGCCGCTGCCATGCTGCACCATAGAGAGAACCAGAAGGTGAGAAAAGACGCCGGGATAAAAAAAAGTAAGAAAAATAAAAGTTTAAGATGAGAAGTATAGTTAGAAAAGAAAAGTTTAACATTGCGAAAATTTATTAAAAGAAAAATAACTTTTTATTTTTCAATGGATTTATTACTTTTTGAATACACACCGCATCTACTATTTAAATAAACGAGCTAAATATTTCTTTTAAGTGGCGACGTCGTACTATTAAATCCAACATCCAGTTAAAATTATACTCCCGTCTCATCATTAAAATCCCCGGGGGCTCTCTGCTTTAATTTATATTTACCGAGACGATCATCTACCAGAGTTTATTTATTAATTTTAAACCGAGAAATTAATTTCAAATAACTCTTGATTAAGGTGTCATTATCCAACCACCACTTTAGTTTCAATATCTCGTTATTTACCAATTTACAGCTCTTCATTTCACGTTGTCCTGCTACTCTAAGGACTATCTCACGTTTTGAGGATTTAAATTTAGGTCGTTAGGGATCTTCAAGTAAGTCTTCTGACAGTTAATGATTAATGAGGGTATTAAGATATCATTTGTTATTAATTTTTCTATTTATTTTTACAGGAACACAGCCTAAGCCTTCTAAAGATGTTATTTTCTGCCGAGTAACTAAAGTTAGTTCAGAAGGCTTCCAACACGTGGCGCTGCGCGCAAATTCCTGAGAGTAGGGATAATTTGGACATTAAAATATCATTAATAATTAATTTTTGCATTAAATTCTACAGAAACACAGCTTAAAGCCTTTAAAGGCGCTACTTTAACTACCTAGTAACTAAAGTTAGTTCAGGGCGCTTGCAGAAGATGGCGCTGCGCGCAAATACCTAAGAATGGGTATAATTTGGATATTAAGATATTATTTATTATTAATTTTTGCATTAAATTGTCCAGAAATACTACTTAAGACTTTTACAGGCGCTATTTTCTGCCGAGTAACTATAGTTAAGTTAGGGCGCTCCCAGAAGGTGGCGCTGAGCTCAACTTTCTAAGAGTAGGAATAATTTGAACATTACAATATCATTTATAATTAATTTTTGCATTAAATTTTACAGAAACGCAGCCTAAGGCCTTTAAAGGCGTCCCTTTAACTACCTAGTAACTAAAGCTAGTTCAAGACGCTCGCTGCAGGTGGCGCTGCGCGCAAATTCCCAAGAATTAGTATAATTTGTGGGTATTAAGATCTTATTTGTCATTAATGTTTGCATTAAACTGTCCAAAAACACTACCTAAGCTTTCTAAAAGCGCTATTTTCTTCCAAGTTACTAAAGTTAGTTTAGGACGCGCCCAGAAGGTGGCGCTGAGCGCAAATTTCCAGGATGGGGATAAGCTAGGTATTAAGATATTAATTTTTGCATTAAATTTTTTAAACACACAGCTTAATCCCTCTAAAAGCGCTACTTTCTGCAGAGTTATTAAAATTAGTTCAGGATGCTTGCGGCAGGTGGCGCTGAGCGCAAGTTCCCAAGAATAGCGTAAAACAAACTATAAATGATAGGTGAAAATAAAACAATCCATCGAAAGTCGGTAGAATTTGCATAGTTAGAAAAGTTAAACTTTAGTGTGTGGATGAGAGTCTTCTCCTCGGTTTAATCAAACCCTGGAAGCTCCTAAATTGACAATTACATCAGTAATTAAGGTGTACTGTATCCGTGCGTTGTCTAGATAAATTCAGTAATCTTAATGCGATGATACGTCATATATAGGATCTTTTAGCGAGTATAACTCTACAAAAGTTATTCAAACTTTGTGGTAGCTGAAGCGGGTAATATTTGATAGTCTTATTTATTTTATTTACTTTATTTACTTTATTTAAAGCAATATTTTTCCCTCTCTAGAGTGTAAAGTTTCAAAGGATATATTAACGTGAGTATAATGACTCTAGGAACGACAATGCCGATGACTATCATCCGAAAGCAATTATTTCTCAAGGGTAAAGATGATGAAAGCTCAATAGAGAAACATGCGGTGAAGCTAAAGCTGGGTTGCATCTCCGTAACCATTTCTATGGTGAAGAGCAAGGGGATAAGGATACAAGAGGAAAAGCACTGCGTGGTTTTGTTGGGAATAAATTCTCAAGTTTCCGAAGAGCTCCCTCGTGTTCGTTGGCTTTTCACCTCCCAACACCCAAATGCTCCCTATCTCCCTATCCTCATCCTGAACCAAGCTCTTTCCTCCTGCTCTCTTTATATCTTTATCACAATCTATGTCTATCTCTAAGCATCTTCCTCTTGAAAACTGGTTATAACTTTAGAGTCAGAAAGGCTGATGTGTGTATGAGTCTACAAGTCTACCAGTCTAAGTAAAAGTGTATGAGTAACAACACAAAGATACTGATCCTATAACGCTAGAAATAGAGCTCAAAAGTTGATAGAAAGTGTAAGAGGACACGTTAAACAGAGACAAGTGATATATGCTTACTTTTACTAACCATATTTCTCTATCTCTGTTAGTAACACACACACACACACACACACACACACACACACCCACTGCACTTTTGAATATTCTTCAAGCTGTTTAGAGTTTTAGTTTAAAGAAGCTGTCAAGCCAAAGAGGATGAAACTTACTCACTTGTGTCAACCAAATGCTACTCACTTCTTCCAACTACCTAGCAGTTGCTAATGATAGTGCTTTTTCTTAAAACCAACTGCTTAAAGTCCTTCTTTTGCTTTTGCTTTGTAAAAGTGGAAGGAAATAATAAATTTTTACAAACCTGGACCATCAGCGAAATGGCAACTAGTCCTTGGCTTTTGTGCTGCGCTTCACTCATATTGTGATACAACTCCGCATTGAATCCGAAGACCTGGATCTGCAAGCATACAACAATAGATAATTAAATTACTATATGCTGAATAGAATTTTCAAAAGGATCAACCGAAAATACTGTGAATTACTGGCACTTTGAGGGGTTCTGTAAGAGAACTTAGAATTTGGTACTAAACCAACGACATCTATTGAAGTTGGGTGGATTGTAATTTTAGAAGAAATGTATTGGAAGCTAATAGGCAAAACATTTATTTAAAATTACAATCTTTTGTTATTTTATAAATATTTTTAAATTAGCTAAGTTTGTAATTTTACTTATTTGTTTTGTAATATGATTGTAATTTTACAATTTTACAAAAATTTTTAACAGTGAACGCACGTGAGATGGGTAAATAAAATTCTTTTGAATATTCCTCACGTTCCTATACCGGACAATTCGCCAGAATTGGCTTTCAATCCTGGGTTTTTAAAATTTCTGCTCTCCAACAGATTGTTTAGCAACTTTATTACATAGTTATTGTTATCAGACCGTTGGAATTTAATGAAAATACCCTTTAATAGAAAATAGGTATCCTAAAAGTGTCATTATAGATTATTAACATGCCAAACGAGCCGGTGAATTCCGATAATAATTTCCTTGGGCCCGTTAAACAAATGGTTGAATTCTTCAGCAAAAGAATACCTCTCGGGATTTTAGTTCTTCATTTTCTTTATAAATTTTTTTCATCCCTTATTCTGACAGCGAGAAAACGCGAAAAGGCGTCACTACAATCGACGTTTCGTCTGCCCAGGGGAATCTTTGTGTTATCTGAGGGGTGACGCCGCCCTTGGGCTCCGCTCTGCTTACACATCTACTGACAAAAGCGGATAGCATCCCTTTGATCAGATATTCCGTTGGGCCGATAGAACTACAATTCAGAACTAGAGAATCAAATATTTATCTTTATCACCCCTATTTTTGGTAGTTATTAAATTCTCGCCTCGTTGGATGATCAATCCTAATCACCGAGACATCAATCACTGCACAGAAATAGCTAGATTTCGTGTTTTAACAACTAACAGAGCGACGGATTGCGTCACTGCCACTAAGTAAAATTCAAGGAAAGTATTGTAATTTTACAAAAATATTTTTAAAATTAGTAACCTCACAGAGCTATATATGTTTTGTAATATTACTATACCATGGCATACGTATCTGGAACTCGTTGCTACCTGGGTTGACAACTGCAGATAGTCTTCCTGAATTTCAAAATGCCTCTTTTTCATTTTTTCTGGCTGATGACAATTAAAATCATCATTATATTTGTTTAAATAATTATAATTTTTGCTTTCAAAGTATTTTCAGAGTGTTTATGAATTTACTAATTAGCTACTGTATTAAGTAACTTTATTGTATTAGGTAACTTTAAAATCTTGCTCTCAAAATTATAGAACTATTGTAATTGTATTTTAATACTGTATACTTGTATATGTATCAAAAAGGAATTGCTTATTGATGGCCTTGAGGGAGCTTCGGCTCTAAGGACAAATAAAATATATCTATCTATCTATATCCGATTGTAATTTTAAACAAATGTTTTGCCTATTAGCTTCCAACACATATCTTATAAAATTACAATAGAAATTTTGAACAGTGTATTGTGGTTGTCTTTTTCTTCAAATTAATCGGTGAGATGAATTAATGGCAAATGGAAATGACAATGATTACATTGTGGGGGTGATATACTTTGAAAAGCCACTAACAAATCCTCAGAATAGTTTAGAAACATGAACGCGTAACCAAGTTTAAACTATACTATTCTCCGCCGGCGGGGTAAGTTTTGGTTTAAAGTTTCACCTATATTTACATTATTCCGTATTCACAGATAGCTTTCACTCTGCAAATTCAACACGCTACCAAGTTTATGCATTTCTGTTAAATAAATGTATTATTTATAACAAATTATAACATAACAATGATAAGTTTGTTTTAATGGCAGTTTCGACAAAAAAATGAAACATTATTCACAAAATTAAGGTAATACCCCAGCATTAATCTTCGGGCAGTAAAATATCATCTAATCTCTCAGATCGGTGTAATGCCACCCAGTATCATCGAGTCAAGAATAATTGGCACGTCAGAAGCTGCATCCGTGGCATATGGGCATGCCATCACGATTTCTGGCACAATACTCTATTCTCCCATGATAGATATACGAGCTTCATCAAGCCCCTTTCCATCCTAGCAGTCCTACCTTCGTTGGTAACTGCCAACTATATTAACCCACCCTAACCAGTGGTTGGGGCCGAGTTCGGATCACCTACTCTCAAAAGGGGCGGCTGCGATTTCTCGAATATATTGTCCAGCCAGCCCAGACCACATCAATTGGAGGAGGAAATCATAGAGGAGCATTGGCTTACAACTTATAACTAGCATTAGTAACCAAGCAACTATCATTGATATCTGCTTTCTGATTTCTGCCTTCTGATTTCTGAATAAAAAATTCAACCTTGGGTGTTTTGTCTCTAAAAGAGATGCAGAGAGCGAAGTGGGGTGAAGAGCCCTTGAAAACAACAGACAATCGCAGCGCTACGAGGGTCGTTCAACTATAAACGACCACTACAATTACCGGGTTGGAGGCACTACACACGCGCGCGCCTAACTGGAATAATTAAGTAAATTTGCGTTTAGCCGTTATTTTTTTAATTGATGTCCAGTTTGGAAGCGCCAATTCAAGATATCCTCTATTTCACAGGAATACAAGCGATTTTGATTGCTATTCCGGAGATTATTGATACCCAAAGTTGTCCGAGTGAATTCGAGAGATTGGATGAATCTGAACTATCTTGGAATTATTTCCAACTGAACGGGGAATAAGTTTAAGTATTTAAACGCAATTATGCTGATGGATTAAGACGATCAAAGACGGAGCAGCACAAGGAGAATTGAAATGCTCCCTCGGGCAAATTGCTCCAATTACACCTGTCAATTTGCACACCTCTCGAACATACTACATACATCCTACATGTTAGATCCTACATCCTACAGCCCGGTGATTCCACTCGTATCACGGGGCTGTTTGGCCATTAGTGCCCGGCCACGACACACTACACTCAGCCTGATAGGAGGCAAATACTAACCCAAGGACACATTACTCTCAATAGTCCTGATAGCAACCAGCAACAAGCAACAGAGACACTTACGGTCATCCTGGATCCCTTTTAGCCATCAACTTTTGATGAACAGCTCCCTATTGCGGTCCGATGATAATGAAGACTGGAAAATATCTCCGGGACAGCTCTAGTGGAAGATTAATCGGATAATCGAGCCCTTTTGGCTTAGTTCAATACTACTCTGGTGTATCGCTGAGATCCCAATCAGCCGGAGAGAGAAACCCCTAGGACTGCTCCTACTCCTCCTACATTTAGTGGTACTCGATGCTCGGTCTCTGGCATCAAAGCAAACCGTCCTTCAAGTACATCGATAATGAATTAGATTCGCCTGAGTGTCTCTGAGCGTAGGTACACTCACATATACCTGATCCTCTTGTGTGAGTCTCGTCATAAGCTCATCCTCTTTTACAATACCATTTCCAATTCCAAATAACATAATACTGATTTTGATTAACTTCCAAATCAATCTGCGATTAAATAACTATTTCGTTGCTCAGAACTATATCAATTGTTCGAGGTATATTCGGTTTAATAAATTCACCCGTCAAAGTGTACTCGACATTATTGGGTGCTCTGTATCAGTAAAAATTAATACTATTCAAACATTTGAATTTCATTTTATATCTATTGTCAATTTGGGTAGAGTTTGTCCATCTAAACCCGTCTGATTTGTTATCGATTTCTTCCGAATTCACCAATTCGTTCAACGAACTGCAGAAATTTAATGAATCAATGAATTGGACTTACCTCAGCTGGAAAAGCGTAGTTGTTAACTTGATGCTCCGAGCCCTGGTCGTTGGACATCCCGTAGTGGATGTAGATTTCTTCGAACTGGTAGTGATACGCAAGTGGTCCTCCGGTGATGTTCACCCTGGTTTTGGTGTCCTTGTCGGCCTTGAACACCAAAAACTGTCCGGTATTGTGGAGATACCCCGCGACCTGAAATAAAAGCAGCAAAAATGGTTAGATGAGGAAGCTTTGGAGGTGAAAAATGTGACAAGGTTTATCAAAATTCAAGTTAATCATTGAGTGGATGTTTTTTGCGGGTAAAGAGCAGAATAAAGTGGTTTTTCGACTGACAAAAACGAAGCTCTCGGGACTGGTACGGTAATTGATTAGGGATTTAATTGGACAGAATGGCGTAGGTACTGGTGGTAGTGGTGGTAGTGCCGGGCTAGCGAGGCGATGAAAACGAGGCGACTGGTGAGAGAAGTCCATTTTCTTGTACGTCTCGCGAATGTGAATTATGACGTCATCAGTTAGAAATAATGAGGTAACCTCACTGGATTGGACTGGGAAGTAGACACGTCAGCGGATTTTCAACAAGAGCCAGCCTATTTTACCACAATTAGTTTTTGTTTTTCTCACTTATTTATTTTTAATCCTAGATTCTGGATTTATCTTCTTTTCTTCAAGTTTGGAGCACGCCCGTTCGAAGAACTAGGTATTGTTCGCCGAAGATAAATAAAACACGGGCCTTGTCAAAAAAGGTGGAGGGTCAGACGCGAAAAGACGTAGTCAGCGTAACTGGAGACTCTCTATTGTTTAATTTAAGTGCCAAAGTTTTAACTGCGAGAGAAAAGAGGGCCGACAAATTTGGCCCTCGCGATTAACCCCCCCGATTACGTCAGCCGGGATGTGGTTGAGCTTCTGCGGGCTGACGGGGCACTTCCGAATACCGTCTTCCTGTTTCTCCTCTTTTTCTGAAACACTCGTTTTTTCTTCAGCTGCGATTTTTTATTTTTTTTTTCAAGAAATGAATAGGACAATAGAGAAGCGCGAACGTTTAAGAATGGAAAACCCGAATGAGGATGGAAAAAATTTAAAAGCTCAGGCATCAAGAGTTTCAAACAGTGCGTAGCGGTTGGTTGAGCATCTGCGAGAACAGAATGTGTTCTTTTGTTGCGGGCATTGTTACCCTGGTGTCTTTCACCGCACCGGGACATCCGGGTGATTTTAAACGGGTCATGTGTCACACCCTCCCCCTCAAGCTTCCAGCATCATCCCGTAGTTCTGTGTTTTTAATCGAGACGTCTACATACTACGCTATTTAGTTGATTAATTTCAGTATCGATTGCACTGCTCTTGACCTCCCGGAAAAATGACCACAACCCTCCAGCCGTTAATTTACCCGACTCCGTAATAGGCTTGTCGAATTAACATACCCTCGTGAAATAGCTGATGACGCTGCTGAATTTTTAACAAAATCATTGGAGTGCTAGTCAAACAACTCCGGGTATACTAGTGCTACGCTGACAGGTTATTAAGCTTGCATACACTCTGAGACTTTAGTTCTGGAAAAAGCGGAGGGGGTAAATGTAGAGGAACAGAAGTTAAAACGAAATAAAAGTTTGATATCTGGGACGTGATCTCATCAACTTTCTTAGTAAGATGTTTCGAATTAAAAAGTTTGTCCTGGGTATTTCTAAAAACAAGATCTCTGTTGACATGAGCTCCCCGAAGACCTCCCGGTTCAGGAAAATTGTTTCAGCTAGGGCTACGGCTAAGGAGGGATAAATCGAAAAAAAATATGGGAGTGATAAATTACTTTGTGTTTGTCGACCTGGACGGGTCTCAAGTGAGGATCGAAGAGCAACTTGTCTGGCTCTATGTTGATGGGACTCTGTCGTCGGCCCTTGCTGCACAGAGACCACTGCGGATTTATTAAGCCCCAGAACGCTGGACCTGCAACAAAATTCAACTGATTATTTTTCAATCTAAGGTAAGTTCTTTTTTTTTTTTTTTTTTTTTTTTTAATAGAAAATATTTTATATGTATGCGAATGCTCACAATGAACTTTGTAAGAGACCGAGAAGAAAATAGTAAAATTTTTACAATTTCAACTTTTCCAATTGACTTGAAAGAATTTTTCGACAGCTCTCGGACACCAGGGAGTAAATATTTAAGTTATTTTTTTCGGTTAAAACTTTTCTTATTTTTTTTTTTCACACCCAGCAAACATTTCTTATGTTTTATTATTTTTATCTCAGGTCCTCATCATTCGCGTTTTCTGGACTCGTGCTTGATAAATTTAACTTTATCTCGTCGGGTGAAATTGATACGAACTCAAGGTCTTAATGAGTTTTCTTTTATAAATTCAAAACTTTTCTTTTTAACGTTATTACCATCGTTATTTTTTCTTTAATAACTTTATATAAAATATAAACAAGTAACCAGATAATTAAAAGTATTAAATTTATTCTAACACTTAAATTATTTTTTTCTATAGAAGAAAAACTTTGATAATCAAGACTTTATATATTAATTACAAATCGATATAATAATTTGTATTATTTTTTCATCAATATCCATAACTACAAACTTTTCTCGCTAGTAATCAATAGTTTTGCTATCAATAAGTCACACTAAAAGGAATTGTAAAAAGTATTTAGTTTTTTTTATTTTTTATTATTTCACTGATAAATATGCTTCATTTTCTACTAGAGATTAAAATAAAAAACACTATAAAAGCAACCGTTTGCTCACGAATATATCATGTCGTTCTGTCGAACGGTATAATTTATATCACAAACGTACTGTCTTTTTTTCTTCTCTTTTATTCCCGCTTTACAATAAAATATACCTTTCTAATGAAAGTCATCAGTTGACATTAAATATTTCAATTCTTTATTTTATTTTCCCTAAAAAAAAACACTAAATTCTCCCCAATTCCCTAAAACATCTCCAGAAACGCTTCAGGCCCGGCGGACGGACTGCGCAAGCGCGCGGAGTGGGGAGTAGAGAGTGGGGACTAGCGGCCGGCAGTGGGGGAAGCCCCACAGTCACTCTGCAGCGAGCCGTCGTCGGGTTAACATCGCGTAAAATTGTTTTTAACTACTTTTTAACATTTTTGCGTCACTTTTACGATGATTGAACACCTTTAAAGTCAATAAAAAATTTAAATAAGCTTCAATAAAGCAAATTAGAGTCATGAAAGCTGAATGCGCACGTATTAGAAGATTGACAAGGTAAATTTGACGAGCTGGATTTACAGTTGGCGTACACGGGAGTGTAATTAAAAATTAGCAAGCGATGAACGTAGAGCCGAAGTCTCTATTGGTTTCCCGGTACAATGGATCTATAATAATATATGAACGTTTAATTACGTCCATTCTCCGGTAATAGTATTTCGTACCTAAATCCATAATCTCATTCTCATTTAGAGTACGACCTTGTATGTTTTTTCCAGTAATCATAATCAGCATATGAATCATCTAGTTATAAAATTTCTCGTATATAAAATCAATTACATTACAATACGGATAATTTAATAATATATCATTAATAGACTAATTACATTATCATTGGGATGACAGGTTAACATTTTAACATTCTATTTGCATATTAGCAGACCAAGCGGCGTTTTATTAAATTATTGAATCAAATTGTAATTATTATCGACTTGGTATTTTTGATAGCAATTTAAACCAAATTCTTGAAAATCTTGGCTGTTTTCTTGGACGGCTGAGTTTAATTATCGAGATGATCAGACATTCGACAGAGATTGTAATTTATAACGATGATAATAGACGTCTGCCGTCTCAGAAATCGTTCTACGATCCTTAGACGGTTATTGATGACATTAGAATAAAGATTTCGTCGAGAGGTGAGTGAAGAGAGGAAAAGGGGACACTCCAAGTCCAATTAAGATGTTTTTCAGCTACGCTTTGCCCGACAGACATCTCGCGCGTTTCACCCGGCCTATCCTCCTGAATTCATATGCATACATGAATACATTTCAGTGTTTCTCCAATCAAGCCCGGACCGGATGTTTCAGAGTGGAGCACAGCACAGGACCGTATTCCGTATAACTATTGTCCAGAGCTCTATCATATCACCGCTCCCTTTTCATTTTATTTATTTTACAAACAATATCAACACATTCATGAAATCCACTCGCTTTGTCCGCTTTTTCTTTTATCTTTATTTGTTTATGGCCTTTTTATTTTTTATTTTTGGCTCTTCTTTTATTGATACTTTCCAGCCACAATTATTTAAGTCACAATCGGTATTTAAATTCGACAATATTTTATATCCTTTATTCCTTATATTGGTATCGCAATAACCTGATCGTGGGAAATTAGTTTCATCACCTGACCTCTATCCAACCGATAAACTTTTGTCCCAGCGAATAAAAGAGAAGAGTGAAGAGATATATATTTGGTTCACGGGTTGTCATTAACGAGCGCAAACCCCTTGAAAAAACTTTTCATTTTTATTTATTTACCCTTGTTATTATTCAACGTTTTTTTTTTCCGACGTTAAAATGAGGAAATTATTTTATCTAAATTTTTCTGGAGAATAATATTTGTTTTTCTTGATTGTACAAATATTTGTCTGGTTTAACATTCACTTTTTATCAAGACCTATTGATTTATAACTTTCAAGCAAAAATCGTATTACTAATCGGTGATGATTATAGACTTATTTTGATTTATTTAATAATGACTATTATAAAATTACACTGTACTTTCTTAACTATTGACGTTTTTAAAGATATAAGCTCATCCTGATGTTACACTCGTCAAGACCTTTCATTTGAGTACCAACATGCATTTTCGATATATTTTTCATATATATATATATATATATATATATATATATATATATATATATATATAATATAAATAAATATATGAAAAATTGATGTAGGTATTCAAATAGAAGGTCTTGATGAGTGTAACATCAGGATGAACTTATATCTTAAAAAACGTCAATATTTAAGAAAATTAGTACAAATTTAGTTCTGAAAAATTCCGACAGATGGCGCAGAGTCGCTGATTTAGCTCCTAATCAGAGAGTTTAAATTGAGGAATTAAGTAATAAAATAAAAAATCATAATTTTGACATAAATGACCATGAATTAAATTTAGTTCTTAAAAATTCCGACAGGTGGCGCATGGTCGCTAATTAAGCTCCTAGTAAGAGAGTTTAAATTGAAGAATCAAGTAATAAAATAAAAAATTATATTTTTGACATAAATGACCATAAATTAATTTTTGATTAAATTTAGTTCTGAAAAATTCCGACAGGTGACGCATGGTCGCTAATTTAGCTCCTAGTAAGAGAGTTTAAATTATATTTTTGACTGTTTTGATGAGCTTAACTATCCAAATGACCATAAATTAATTTTTTATTAAAGTTAGTTCTAAAAATGTCAATAGTTCACGAGATACAAGGTGATTTTAATTATCTATCTAGAGATAGAGTATAATTTTGCCACAAAATTTTGCTTATTTTTTTAATGATATAAATAATCCGCGGCATTGTTTTTTATTGAATGTTTTTCAACTGAATTGAAAAGATCTAGTTTGAAAACAGAATTAAGGATCGAAAAAAATTTTATCGTTATATCGTCAATCTGAGATTTTAAAATAATTGATAGTAATTCGCTAATGACCGGTGAATTTTATTCAGGTTTTAAAATTTATCGCGAAAATGATTGTAAGCTTGGAATGGATTTTCCGGGAGTGAATTTGTCGATTGTTCGGGGGAAAAATATAATGCAGCTCGCGAGTGTCCAAATCGAATTTCGGAATGCAATTCGTGTTGCGCGTTGCGGATCACCTTGTTATCGGGGCACGATAACGATAACCCTATTTCTCTTGCACTTTATCACCCAGTGTATAGTGTATAGTGTGTATAGTGTATAGTTAGATATGTTTAATGTCTCTGTCCGTGTGTATCTCGTGCCGCGGATTTACACGTCGAGTCGCGATATGTTCTCTGTAAATTTGTTAATTAACTAAGGTAATTGCTCCTGTAGTCCCAATTACAAGTTAAATCCGTTATATCCAAATGTATGCATGTCATTTCGGTGTTTCGGGGCTCTTTAATTGAATTATTGATACTAATAACCTTTTTATAGGCAACTGCTAATGGAAAAACTTTCGGATATGGGCTTTAGTGATATGCTTCACGGAAACTCTATTTATAGTAGAACATGGTCAGAAACATCGAAAACAATGTCCGAAATTATAATAGATAATGTTGAAATAGTAGAACAATAGAAAATTTTAATAAAATAGAATTGATAAATAGCAAACATGGTGCATTAATTATTTTTTTAACGATTTCTGATACCGAAAGTTAATTATTTTAAGGCAAGAAACTCATGTTAGTTAAAATGAATTTACATTTTTATTTATTTCAACCGTACAAAATAAATCAAGTACAAAGTTAAGATTTTTTTTTATTTAATTAAGAATTATTTTAAAAGAAAAAAAAATAATAAATTGTCTCTTGGTTATAACTTTTTGTTGATTTTAATAAATATCACTAAAATAAATATTTTTATTTTATAAAATAATCATGTGGAACATTTGAGGTTATATAAATAAATTATAATGTATTAATTACTATAAGCTACAACTCAGTGTGTGTTTATATCTATTATTTTAAATTTTTGTTAATAGAAACAAACTTCTTAAACTTCATTAAAATAAACACTTTTTTTAAACAATATTATTATAACAATACTCTGATATGATAAACAAACATGAGTAACCTCACTGCAACTACTAGTGTAGCGCTTTGCCAAGTAAACCGAACAAAGACGCATCAATACACAACCTAAGTGTTGCTATTGACAATTTAACCTAAAATTAATCTTGATTTTTAAGTAACACACCAATAGTGTTACAAAAGACTGATTAACACATTTTTTATGTTACAAAAATGAGTAGCACAAAAAAAGTGTCAATTTAACACAAATAATTTTTAACACCCTGATTTATGTTTTAGCTCGGCGATACCCCGAACCAGGAGCTACGAATCATAATTAGTGTCTTCAATAGCGTGCAGTATCGATGTAAGTACTATTTAATCTCATTATTACAATTAACAATTTTTATCGAATAAGCCCATTCATTATAACTTTAAGATTACCCAGTAAATAATGGCAAAGTTACAATAAATTTACTGGGGAGTAAATATCAAGCGGTCTATACACAAACTAAGTGTTGCTATTGACAATTTAACCTAAAATTAATCTTGATTTTTAAGTAACACACTAATAGGGTTACAAAAGACTAAATAACACATTTTTTATGTTAAAAAATACTAATACACATAATTTTTGACAAATCTTGTGTATAACCTTAATAAAAAGCACTTTTAGAAGGAATTGGAGAAATTCAAGTGTGATGCGAAAATTTCAAGGTAAAAAAACACTGAAATGAACAAACCTGACATGAAAACTAAAAAATGTATAAATCCCGGGAGATATTCGGACGCAAAAGGAATAAAAGATGAAAAGTATGTAAGCAAGTTATGAAATCTTTATCTCATCACCGGTTAGCGTTGAAATGATTTAACAAATTATTTAACTGTTGGTAGGATTCGTATGGTCAACATGAATTAAGCTTAGTACCCTGGCTATGTACAATGTACAGTATTATATAATTTATGCGTACTCACGTTGGAAAATGAAGGTAAAAGCATATCCAACCGTCATACCGGTAGCTCTTCAGTACTTGCTTTTACGGAAACATATTCTATGCATACATGCATGCTTAACACCTAAGAGAGCGACAACGGCCGGCGAGATGACTGGAAACGACTGGGACCATCGTCCACCAGCCAGGATGTTAAATTACAGCATTTAAATAATTTCATTTAATCTCTGCGCTGGTAAGAACCCTCCCTCTCTCCGCAATCCCTCTGTCTTAATCATTCTACCGCGCCTTCTCGTGCTTCGTTACGTGCTACCGGATAACCTGCCTGGACACCGACGCCAGCCTCACGGAAAATATATTTTCCGCTGACTAAATTCGTCCACGATAGCCTGTTGCTTAATCACATTATCACTTTTATAACATCACTTTATTTAATTACTTTAATTTATTATTTAAATTTGAATTCCAATTCCGCAACCTAAAATCAATAGTCTGCCATTAACCGATTAAATTATAAATGAGACTACGGTAATTCCGATTAATTTTGTTTATTTTTAGTTTTTACTCGTCGAAATACGGCTTAGACTCTATTATTTTATTCATTTTTACGTTAATAATACAATTGGTCATATCAAGCTCCATTTCGTTAGAATATAATATTTTGAGGTTAATGTGCTTTGATATATGACCAAATTACCTCATAATAGCCTTAACATGGTCGAAAAAGCCATATATCAATTTTTTATTAAAGTTAGTTCTAAAAATTTCCGATAGGTTGCGCATGGTCGCTAATTTAGCTCCCAATTAGAGAATTGAAATTGAAGAATTAAGTAACAAAATAAAAAATTATGTTTTTGACTAATTTGAAAAGTTTTAACTATCTAAATGACTAAAATAGTTTTTTTCAATTGTTAATTCAAAGTTTTATAGAATAATCATATAAAATATTAAATTTTATAATTCAATTAAAAAATTGAATTTTTATAACGCCATTTTGACGCTTATTATGAAACTTTTGTAACGGGTTCATTTAAATTCGCTTTGAATAAAATGAACTAATGAAAATAATGAATGAAAGAAGAAAAGTTTGTAATTATAAATTTCAACTGACAATAGTGATTCAACGAATTATTCAGATAAAAATAATATATCAGACAATTATCTATTCGTTGAATGAAATTCGCTTGTGTTGTTTGTTTGAATATAACTTTGTAGAGAGAGAGAGTGAATTATTACTTTTTGGTGTTATTTTTCAAAAGTTTGCCATTTAAATAATAAATAACTAATTTGTTTGGTGATGAAACAGGTAATAACAGCGATAGGGAGGATAAAATATCGGGGTCTTTAATCTGGATGAAAATAATCCGGTGACAAGGTGAGAAGACGGTTACGGTTAAGTAATTTATTTATAACATAAGCACTGAAGAGGAGTTAGTGAGTGAGAGTCGGGAGTATTGGGCGCCACGAGAGAGAATTAAGCGAACAAAAGTTTAGAATCAGCAGGCTCCAAGCATTTTACTCTACGAGGTTCGAGGTACGTTCTTTTTAAGAGTTGCTTTTCCTATCCCGGGAATTAAGAAAACGGAATAAACATGCAAATGCAACCTGGTCCAGCCACCAGCCACTTTCCTTCTTTATCACTCGGTGAATACAAGTGTGCCAACTTTAAACCCGCCGGTGGGAATAAAAGCTTGGAAAAAATATAATAATAGTAATGAATAACATCTTTGATCCTTTATTTTTCTCTTTATTTTACATTAGTAGTCATACAAATACTGAATAATAAAAATTTAATTACTTTTATTTCCATGCCGACTTTTTAATACCAAGATATATATCTTCTTGTATTTGTAATTTCATTTTATGACTTTTATTGCTTAAGTTATCTTTGAATTCATAAATTTCCCCAAATATTCCATAAAAAGCGAAATATAATTTTTTTTTAAATTAGTTTTTGGTTTTACCGTTAGGTGGCGCATAGTCCATGTTTTTTCTCGCTTGTAGAAATTTTAAACCAAGTTCTTTAATTTAATTATACGACTTTTATTGCCTAAGTTATCTTTAAACTTATAAATTTCCCCAAATATTCCATAAAAACAAAAATATAATTTTTTTGTAATTAGTTATTGGTTTTACCGCTAGGTGGCGCATGACCAAGTTTTCTTCTCGCTTGCAGAAACTTTAAACTAAGTTTTTTGATAAATCAAAAATTCTTTAATTAAATAGTATTTTATTTAAGTAGTTCTTGGTTTTACCGCTAGGTGTCGCATAGTTAATTTTTTTTCTCGCTTTTAGAAATTTCTTACGAAGGTATATTTAATCTAAAGTTTTTTTTATTCAATTTCAGTATGGATTTTGTGATAAAAATTTAATATTTCATTACAATGAGGTAACTTAAGTAGTTACAAAATTAATAAACACCGATAAAATTTTCAATATATATATCCCAATATCTTAAAACTACGAGGGATCTAAAAATAAATTTTTAAGGCTTATTGGTTGTAAAACAACAGTAGAACCATCTAGCATCTGCCTGGAATATGAAACTCTGGCCCTAAAAAGGCAACCACCTGACTAAAGCCAGCTCAAAAAATCAGTAATAACTTTAGCCAAGGTGAGCTTGGGTTGTACCGGGTGTTGTTAACCCCCGCGATAAAAATTCATGCACTGAATTAACTTGCGAAGAATTTCATACCGGAAAAAAACTAATTCATACCAACTTACTTTACTATTTAATTTAACCCAAATCGGAGTCACTCCCCCTCGCAGCGCCGCTACCGAGCGCGTCCCAGACTATTCTTATTATCAATAGTCTAATAATAGAGTAATCCCGTATTTAAATCTCTTATTAACGCAATTATATTGAATTATCGAGTGCTGGTATTATTAAGTCTATTAAATAACTGTGGACTTACCGGAAATACCATCATAGGTCCACCATTCTTCCCAGCTGGCTTCGGACTCTGAAAATTAAACGATAAAAGTTAATTATCCTCTCTAATTTTAATCCACCTTTTTTATTTTATCACAACTATTATCATTATCGCTGTTATTTAATATTAATTTTAATTTGTCCTTTTTTTTACCCAGAATCCAGCGACTAAAATGCTAATATTTATTATGCAAGGCAGAATGTTTCTTATCGGTAATGGAATTGTGCCACGTGCGAAAAAGAACCAACTTTAACAAAACAAAATATAAATATGCGTAAAGATCCAGGGCTGCTTTTTTAACGTGTGAGTATATTTATTAATGCAAACACTGCACTTTAATTTTATTTTTACCAAGGTCTATTTATAATTTCTTTGTTTGCGCTATCTAAATACCACGAAAGAATTATTAACCCCGTAGTTTAAAATATTATTTTTATGGTTAATGTTAACAAGGTTGATGTTCCTAAGTACAATCCATTATTTACCGATAATTTGGCCTATGAATCCCGAGGAGGTATACAACGTTGATTTAATAATGATTGAGCAGTCGGGTTGTGACTTTTGACTGTGAGAGTTATTAATCGATAACGGAGGACGGGGTGAAGTACCGTAGGAATTCGTACGCTTGTAGTGTGTGGAAAGCCACTAAGAGCTACTTGGCATGTTAAACATACCGGAATAACGTCAACCAGATGCCACAGTGTCTTCGAGTTTCAATGCATTCTTGGCAATTCATTATGAATTTTTATCATTTTATTGATTTTTGGGAGACTATGTACTCTGTTTAGCAAGAATTAGTCCCTGGAATTTCAATTTTTCGAGCCTAGGTGTTCGAAATTCGAATTTTTGGTTTTTTGCCATGGGCCCCATAACCTGTTGGATCATATTTAGGTTAATGTGCTTTAATATATGGCTAAATTACCTCATACTAGCCTTTGCATAGTCGAAAAAGCCTATATATCAATTTTTTTCAAAGTTAGTTCTGAAAAATTCCGACAGGTGATGCATGGTCGATAATTTAGCTCCTACTAAGAGAGTTTAAATCAAGGAATTAAGTAACAAAATAAAAAATCATACTTTTGACTGTTTTGATGAGTTTAACTATCTGAATAACTATAAATTAATTTTTTATTAAAGTTAGTTCTGAAAAAATCCAACAGGTAACGCATAGTCGCTAATTTAGCTCCTAATAAGAGAGCTTAAATTGAGGAATTAAGTAATAAAATAAAAAATCATATTTTTGACTGTTTTTAGGAGCTTAACTATTTAAATAATTAAAATATTTTTCTATAATTGTTAATTCAAAGTTTTATGGAATAATAATATAGAATATTTAATTTTACAAAGAAAAAACTGAATTTTTTGTTGGCCTGGGCCCATAACCTGTTGAGCCCCAATATTTTTGGGTTCTGATTGGATTTTTACCTTACAATTGTAACAATGTTGAAGGTAAGCTACAAAATAAATGAGAATTCTAATGAAATTGTCAAAAAAACAGATATAACAACGCGTGAATGTAAAAACCAAATAAATAATCGTGTAAAAAGGTTAAGGCTCCCTACTATAAATAAAAAAGACTAATATGATAAAAAAGGAGACAAATGTCGCGTGTTTTGAATCATTAAACTGCGTCTGGCCTTATGAGAGTTGACCCGACCCACATGTGACTATCTCGGTAGTTACGGCGCGCCCTCCACCATCGGCTAATTGCATCAAATTATAAAACTTTCAAATCTAAATAAGTAAGTGAATATAATGTTATCATAATCAGTTTGTGTTGGATCGATTTTTTTCCCTCCTCGTCCAGAACCAACACTCATTTTATTTTATTCAACTCCAGGAGGTTGAAATTGAACCCAACCTAACCTATCATTCATGCGATCGCAATTACGATTAAGGATTGCAAAATCCGATGGTAATTCCCGGGGCATTATGGAAATAACTGCATAAAACAATACTGTCGTAATAATGAATGGAACAGACGAGAGGCGGTCTATCGATCGCTAAGCGACAATTGTAACCTAATTATTTATTTCGATGTTTATTGTCGAATATGTCTGAAGCTCATTAGATTCTGATTTTGATTTTCATTTTCAGAATTCGTCCATTTTTTCTTTTTTTCTGGTAGATTTGGATGTAAGGATAAAGGATCGGCGGTTGAGTGATTTGTAAAACAAAATGTAATAAAAATAAGAGAGCAGCGGATAGAAACAAAACCTGAATAGACAGTCAGTTTGGAAACAACCGTGTGCCGAGGAACAAAAGCGTACAATTACAGTTGAACGGATAGAGATTTAACAGTCGATTGGACTACGATCGTTTTAAACAAATCCATTCGAACGATGTTCTGATTTACAAATTAGTTGTACCGAACGATATTATCTATTGTACCTATTATAACTACAATTTTTCCGATAAACCCCCACGGAAAAAGTACATATTCTGGAATATATTCTGAAATATATTTCAGAATATATACTAGAATATATACTTTTTCCGTGGGGGAAATTACAGCCTACAAATTTTTTATCAAACTGGCGCCCAATTTGCACCAATCGAAGCTTTACGGGGCTTGCAATAAGTTCGTCCATAACTTATTCAACTTTCTGCCGAAAAAATCTGGAAATTGAGTAATTGTGGAAGAATGCAATACGTCTATGTCTTGTTGAAGAATCCTTTGAACTTGAAGGGAAATCTTAGAATGATGAACAGAAAGACAAATGAGCTTTGAAAAACCCTTGACAAGAAATTATAAAAGGAGCATCATTATTTAACTGGTACAAAATGGCGATACTGGTACCCTTGAGTTGAAAAAAAAAAAAAAAAAGGTTAAATAAAATCTTTCAAAGTTCTAGATTTTTCTCTAGGTTGTCCTGAAATTAACAGAAGGAAGTAGATAGATGGACTCAAGAGTGGTTGCTGGTAAACGAGTTCTCCAAGTGGGTTTCAAAGATAAAAAGTAAAAAAATTTTTGAAAGAAGAACCTGGAAGAAAAAAGATCTAGTTGTGAAGAGAAAGTGAAAAGCGAGAAGTAAGGGTGAGTTAGTTGGTAAGGGGTGAACGAGTAGTAGCCAAATGTAATTTAAAGAAGGAGCCAACTTTGAAACTGGTGTTGATGCTGGTAGTGGTGAGGTGGATGACAGAGACAGGATAAGAACAAGGTCTGTTGGAATTTCAACAATAAAGGACGGAAAACAGGTAGTACGTCCGGTTTACAATTCAGCCCGCATACAACAGACAAGTCACTAGTACTGCTACTTCAAAGTACATCGTATTTGACTTTTCTGTTCAAGTATCTGGCATATTTTTTTCCCTACCAGTGGGTTAGAATTGTTGCAAGAGTCCTCTATAATTCTTAACTTCCTAATTTGTCATATTGGAGATTTACATCTCCATCTGATAGATCGGGCTGTTGGCAAACACGGTAGCTCAAAACAATATTTTTAATAAAGTTGCTGGCAAACAGAATTTTCCCTTGGTAAGGAGAAGCTGAAAGAGGCTAAGAATACAAAGTGGAAGGCAGAAGCCACAGTAAGAGGCTGCTTTCTATTTACCCCATTTGGACTTTTGTTTACTTGAAGGGCTCTCCAGCCGGATCCCCCTTGTCTTTGAGAGAACTGGGCGAGGGAATTAGGGGATGATTGAGTGCTCAAAACAAGAAACGATTAAGAAATTCGATTAACAGTGTCTCCCGGCTAATTGATTCCAAGCGAAAAATCAATCGGCGTAATTAGCTCACATGGATGTAAAGAGGGTTATTTTTAATGAAGGACTAGTTGCAGGCTAGCTGGAGGAGAGTTTCAATGGAAGAAGGGTTGGGGTTACATGGGCTGGACAAGTGGAAGCCAGAAAGCTTACGAAATATCCAGAACCAACTCTGCTAATTTAACTCTCTGGAAGTAGAGATGTTTTGGAATCTGCGGTTCTGACAGCAGAAATTTTGCCCCCTTTTTCTGCACGGAGAAAATTTTATAGTAGAGTTTATTATCTACACTGTTAAAAATTTCTATTGTAATTTTACCAAAATTTTTAACAGTAAGTATCTCTTACAGACTGTCAATTATACATTTTATCTTATTAAATTAAACAAAATGAAAGCGCAAGTTGTCAGGTTGAATTAAAGTTGTCCCAACGTGTTCCGTCTCGTCTCGTCTGACAAAACTGGCACAACAAGTTACAAGCTAAGGTATCGCATGTGTAACTATCATATCACAGAACGTAGTACAGCATACGTGTTATTGTCGAGTGTCGCGTACCAAATACAAGAATGAGTCAACTCATTCGTACACAGATACCAAAAGTCTCTAGGTTTCAACCATAAACTTTCTGACTCGGTGTCACATAGTTATTAAAGTTTAACCCGACACCCAATGCAATTCCTAATTCTGCGATAGATGTGATACGTCGCCAGGGAGAAACCTCTCCCCTTCCTCCTTTATAAACACGTAAACTCATTCCCATAAAATTACCTCATCTTCATTTAATACAAGTCTGTCTGTCCCAAATAAATTTCTCCATATCATTATTTCCACATTAGTGTCATTAATAACCTCTTAGTAAACACATATCCTAATTAAGATTTCATCCACAAAATGTCCCCGTCACGCAAATGTTAACCAGAGCACGCACACCGGAATATTTTTTCAACTTCTCTAACTCCATCTCTGTTTCCATTTGTTAAATTAATTCCTTCGTTAATAATGGTACTTATTTTTCAAGCACAATAATGCAGGTCAGAACGACAACCTCGTCACAAAGCAATCTAGTGCTCTTAGCTTAACTCTATTTTTTCAGGTACCTGCATATCTCTTCCTCTTGGTTAATGCACCACTTTAACCTCTCATCTTGATATCCGGCATGGAATGGTAAAAAGCTTTTACGCATTATTAAATTTTTCAAGGTCAAATTTAACTTTTTTATAATCTCGCTTCGGACATGATATACTCGAGTAATTATAGAAAAATTCTGTTTACTTTATTTACTTTATTTTGACCTCTTTTTTTTGTAAATTAGAGATTTAAAAACTCTTAATGCAACAATTTTTTATGTAGAGGTTAAACACTTATCTTCGAATCAATTAGAATCAGTATTAGTGAGCCGATAATTGACATTAATTATGATGAAACTAATGTTAAGATGAATTCAATCCATTAGATAGATATCATAAATTATCCCAAGATTTGATTAACTCTATTCATTTTCAATCGGAAAAGGTTGCACTGAACATTTTATAGTGTGAAATCTTTAATAGAAATAATTATAACCTGATAAAGAATATTCCCGCCAATATTCAAGATTTTTGAAAATCCCGCGGTTTGATTTCTTCAATGGCGGCTTCAGATCTAACAGCTGATTGTTTTCTCTTCAGTTTTAAGAATTTTTCATTGATTATAATTAACTTGTTCGGATTTAAAGTCTTGTATTTAACTTGGCAACACCACTTGCTTAGTTACCTAAAGCATAAGTACCCGCGGTTTTTTAAATGCTAGATCTTAGTAATTCTAGTTAGACAGTAAAGATAAATAAATTTGAAGGTTAGGGACACTCTTTTTGTTGTCAAGAGTATACCGGTAATTCAGAGCGCTATATTGTTTTACTATTCACTTAAATGTTAATAATTATTTAATGAGTAAATTTATCGAAAATGTTATTAATTAATTTAAACCCACAAAAGTATTATTTTTTCAGACATTCTTTACACTAGGATACTTGGATCTTAAATAGATTTAAACTACC